AGGATCAGGAGGATGAAGGGAGGAAATTTGGGATGAAAAGCCCCATGGTTACCCAGAAATGCTGCATTGAAGAAAAGGAGAGGGGCTTTTGCTTTGTGGAGTCGTGGCCTGATGAGATGAGTGGCATTTGGGATGACTGCAATGAATAGCAAGTATCACATCTTCAGCTGTTAATTCCCAGACCAATAAAGATGCTGTTAAGAAAAGAAGTCAGATGGGAAATACCCAACAGGGTTTTGACTGCTGACAAATAACAAACAGATCTCCCAGAGCCAGGAGGAATTTTTCTGACAAATTGTTTATTGGGGAAAGTTATGCACTTTCAGCTTGAGTTGAACTAATAGCTTTGGCCAGGTCTGGAAAATAAAAAAAAAAGGCAATCAGGATTTTTAAATGCAGTTCTGACACCTTGCATTTTAAAAAGCTGCTTCCTTTCAAAATGTATTTAAAAGATGTAATTAAACCAAAAAACAGACCGCACACCTAATGAGGACACTTTGTTTCTGACAAAATGAAACGATATTTATCAGCTTTGCTGATATTTATCAGAGTTTTGCTGCTCCAAGCTCAGCAGTGACACATGTTTTCTGTGGCGAGTGTGCCTGTTGAATTTACCGTCTCCTCTCCAGCGCCTGTCTGCTGCCAAGGAGGGACAGTGGGAGGTGACATGGTGGATGCTCCACGGTGATGCTTTGGCCACCAGCATCACCTGCAAAATACCGCTGCAGACAGAGAGGTTCTTGGGCAGATGGGAGGATCTGGGGAAGATGAAGTGAAGCTCCCAGGTTTTGGAGCTCCCTCCAGCCTCCTGCAGGGGTGGAATCAATGGAGCTGAGGGGCAGCCCTTGCAGGGGATGGAGTCTCACACCAGGGGGGTGCTCAGGCTGTGACCAAGGACTGAGAGGAGGCAGGTGAGGAGCTTTCAGGACTAATCCTTCTTGTTCCCATGCACTGTGGGGAGGAGACCCTGCACAGTCCCCACTGCCAACACCCAGAGCACAAAAGTGCTGGAGAGCACCTCTGCCACAGAACGTGGCAGGGGAAGGGCACGCACCTCCTCACACGTAGCTCCCAGTATAGATCCCATTAACCATCGCAATTAACACGAGCCAGGCCCTCTCCCTTCCTTGTCACCCCAGCCAGAGCTGTACATAAAAATAACTGTTTATTACACAGCGGGCAGAGCCCGGCTTATCGCTGCAGACAGGAAATTGCTGCGCAGAAACCGCACGTTTCACTTTTAATAAGTTTGGCAATAAAACATCTCATCAAACGAGGCCACGACAGGGCAATAATGAAGCTTCCGCGTGGACCATAATTGCTCACTGCTCTCCTGGGGGCGAGCCAGAAAATGGGGAGTGAGGGGGGAGATGGATGGCAGCATCATCCTCCCTCACCTCCTGCTCTGGGAGCATCCATCCCTCCTTATCCCCAGCAGCATCCCCAGAGCACTGACACCCTCCAGGATGTGACTGAAGAGGAGATCTGTCCTGCTGGAGGGATACAGGCAATTCCCATGGAGTGTTGGAGGAGTGTCAGAGGAACAGCGAGGTCCTTGGTGTGCTGAGGGAAAGGTTTTCTGCCGTCCAAGCACAGCTTTCCAGCACTGAATAGTTTTCATGGCTGAGCAGGTGCTCTCACACACAGTCCATCCCTGTCAAAAGCCAGGAGGGATACAGTCTCCTGGAGGTTCTGCACAGGTGGGCTCAGGATGGGGATCTCAGCATGGCAATGCAGGGGTCCTGCAGGACTCCCTGTGCTGGGCCTCTGCCATGGACCAGGAGGGCTGCAGTGCTCCCAGTCCCACCACAGCAAAGGCCAGGGGGTGACATGGTGCCTGTCTGTTCTGACACCTCGTGCTGGTGGCCTCAGAGTGCTGGCTGGTGACACCTCAGACACACGGCACTGGCTGCCCCAGCTGGTCCCTTGCACCAAAGGATGGGGCTGGTGTTTCCTCCATATTATTAGCTCCAGGTGCTCCATCATGGTGAGATTTTCTTCCTATAAAGGAAATCAGGTCCAGCAATTGGTCACTACCCCAAACTATTTCCGAGCTTCCCAGCTTCTGTTTGATCTTCTGGATGCTGGTGGGCACAAACCAGCCCTGCCACAAGCCTACTCAGAGTGATGGGAGCAGCTCAGGGAGCCCTGTGAGGTTCCCCAACCACAGGTGGGTGATGGGGAGGCACCAGGCAGCTTGCAGAGCCCAGGATGATGAAGTGATCCCTCATCACCCTTGGAGGCAAAGCTGGGTCCTTGCTGCCTTCTCTGAGTTACCCCATTCCCACCAATCATCCCCCTTGGCAGAGAGGGAACAGAGAGGTCCAGGGGGACATGGCCCAACCAACACTGCCAAGAGGAGCTCTGGCAGCGAGGCAATAGGAGACAAAACGATGCATGTTGAGGCTGGCACAGGAAATGAAGCAGTTTAGAGTCACAGCAGGAATGTGCTGGCACTGGCAGGGCCTGCTGGCAGGCTCCTGGGTGGGCAGGAGGCTTTGTTCGCCTGCAGCACTGCTCTTGGGGAGTTTACCTGGAATTACTGATCCGCATTCATAAACATGATCACGTTAATTGCTTGCTGAGGCTGCAGTCACCATCTCCTCTCAGCACTGGGATTTCATCTCCCTTCCCACCCTAAATGTCAAGATGTGTCTGTTCTTCCATCCGCTCTGCACCACACTGAGGACAGGGAAGTGGTCGGAGGAGGGAGAGAGGCAGAGGATGGGTGAGTGCACGAGCCTGGAGCCAGAGACAGACACCCACTTCCACCACCTCTGCTCTGCAAAGCAGCGCCTTGAAAATAAAGAGCAGACACCTTCTGGAGGGCTCCAGGAGCTCTGCAGGAAGCCCTGCAGCCTTGGGCAGTGATGACCTGGGGAAAGGCATCCTGTCTAGAGACCAGCTTTAATGGCAGAGCAATGACCAGGCAGCAGGAGAGGGACCAGCTCCCAGCTGAGGACAGAGACACCCAGGCTGCTCAGCCTGGAACCAGCCTGGTGCTCATCTCACTTGGAGCACGGCCAATCACTTCTAGTAAATTATTCATCTGACAAATTTAGCCTGTTATTCTAGTCGTGCTCTACCCAGAGTTTTACAGATTTCGTTATTATTTCAAATTGTGCAAACACCGCAGAAACCTCTCCCGGGCTCTGGCGCGCTCTGCCTTCATCTCAGCTCATCTGCCACATCTGAAATGCGATTTCTACCATCTGGTGCCCAACCCTCCACCCCCAGCATGGCCCCAGGACCTTGGGGAGGTGAGTAGCATCCCTGTTCAACACAAGGCTTTTACCAAAGGGAGAAATATCTACTGTGGGAGAGCCATCTGCTGAGGATCTGGGGGTCAGTGGGATCACAGGTGGCCACAGCACACTTTCAAAGTTTTTTTCACTCACCTTTCAAAGATATTTTGACTTTTTTTCACCTCCATCTTTGTACATGGGGTAGGGATAAAAAATGATAGCACTGTTCCCTTGCATTCTGGACTATCTGGTTTCCCAAGCTTGGTCACTTTGGAAAACAGGGAAAAGCTCTTCCCTTCCTCCCCACATGCCATAATTTCTTTTGTTGAGGTTTCTTTGCAGCCGTGAGGGTAGAGCTAAAACTTTGTACTCAAAGAGAATGCAAAAACTATACATCCTGGGAAGAGCAGAAGGAACATGGATGGGTTTGTTGTGGACAAGCCAAGAGTGATCAAACCCACGAGTGGAACACCAGTGTGTCCAGGGAGAAGCTCTCAGCCAGGCACTTGAGTCTTTCATCATATAATGCAGGGTGTGAGGGAGAAGAGCAGGCAGTGAGACCCCCTCCTGATCCACCCAGAGCTGGAGGAGAAATGGAAGCCAATGTCCCTCACAGCAAGGCTCAAGTTTGCTCCCACTTGTGTGCTCACAGTGAGCTCACACCTCATTTACTGGGAGAAAAACACAGTGGAGAGGCCCATGAATATGAAATGAACTATCTCCAAGAGCTGTAATGCACAGTTTCACCAAAATCACCAGAAAAGAGTATAAATTTTTACACAGAGACCTGACAGGACTCCCTAGCAAGATATTGTGAGACACTTGAATGACTCTCATTAAAGGGAGATTAATTAGCTGAACAGCGGGGATGGAAGCAAGAAATGCAAAATATGGAGCAAATTATTTAAGGAAGAGGTTTACTGACCAAAAGAAAAACAGAAAATAAATATGAAAAAACAAGTCACAGGGCGATCTAAATCTTTCCTTTCTTACCAGGCGAGAGAAGCTAATGGGTGGTGGAAAGGGAGAACGGTGGAGTGTGAAAACACTTGTCCTGCATCCCTGTGAGCCCCATCGGTAGCAGGGAGAGGGAACACTCCCAGCAAGGCCCAGAGGGATGAGGATGGACACGGTGCCTGGTTCCCTGTGGAAGACTAGTGATTTTGTTGTTGTATGGCTCATCCCACCACAACAAGTCACAGTCTGCCCTAGGGCACACGGCCTCTGCAGCGGTGCTGAACGCATGGGGACAAGCCTGTGGCTGGGGCTGCTTGTGGTCCTTCTCTTCTGACCACCTCGGACATTGCTTTTGTGAGCTTTGAGAGTGAAGCAACGAGAGGCTGGTCTGAAACCCCCCCTTCAGCCATGCCCCAGCCGGAGCTGCCCTCCACAACTGCGGGGAGCATCCTGGGAGAGCCCGGAGGATGCAAACCCCAGGCTGCCGTGCAGGACGAAGGGACACAGGGAACACCCGGGAACAGCGCACCCGTGCCAGGCGCTCCGGGGCGTGCAGCTGGGCACCGCAGCGTGCCTGCCAGCCCCACGGGGCAGAGGTGGGACACGCGTGAAGCCCTGAGCATCGCCCAGTAGCGCTCCGGGGCTCCCCAAAAAAACCCCAAAAAAACCCAAAAATCCCCCAAAATCCCCAAAACCGCGACAGCCCCACCCCCGGGGATGACAGAAGCCCCGCCTCAATATGCAAATTAACCGCGCGGCTCAACCAATGGGGGAGGAGAGGGTGTGGTCACGGCGGGACTTGCCCGGGCATGTGCGCGCGGCGGCTTCCGGGCCGGACACGTGTGAGCCGCGCCGGGAGCGGTCAGCGGGGACAGGGGACACAGGGGACACCGGGGGGCACAGGGGGGGGCACAGGGGACGGGTGCGGCCGGCAGGGGTCTGCCGATGGGTAACCGGGCGGGCAGGGAGCTGGGGCCTGGAGCGAGGTGGAGAGGGCCCGGGCAGTGGGCAGACAGGGCCCGAGGGAGTACGGAACGGGGGGACAGAGGGGGCAGTGGGGTGGGCAGGGGGCTGCGGGTCGCAGAGGGGGTGGGCAGGGCCCTGGGGCAGTGAGGGGGCAGAGGCGTGGTGTGTCAGAGGGTGCCACAGTGTGTCCGTGTCCCCTTGCCCCGTGGCTCCTGTGCCACCTCCGCAGGGGGTTTGCCGTGGGGGTCTGTGCGTCGTTTTCTGACAGGAGGGTCAGTAAAGGACCCTCAGTGCCCCCTGTGAGTGCATGGCACTCATGGCCCCCTGTGCTCCCTCCCGCAGGAATGCCACCAGGCAAAGGACAGATGGCCGCGCTGCTGCCCGCCCCCAAGGTCTCCGTGCCCGCCCTGCCGGGCACCCACGGGGGCAGCGCTCAGGCCCCCAAGGGTGCCAGCTCGCCCCAGGCTCGCAGCAAGAAGAAGAGCCGCAAGCACCAGCGGTTCATGGCGCGCCGGGCCGTGCTGGAGCAGAAGGGGCTGCTGAGCCCCCACAGGCACCCGGGCAGTCAGACCCCCGAGGCGGGGCTGGGGGCACACGCTGAACGCTGTGACAACGTCCCCAAGCAGGCCGTGTCCTCGTCCCTGCCTCCATCTGCCTCCCCAGACAGCATAGCCAGGCACCACTCCGTGCTGCTGTCCCCGGGGAGCGGCAGCTCCTGCGGGGTGAGGACGTCCTCCCTGCTGCTGCGCCCGGGCAAGTACGTGGCCATCGACTGTGAGATGGTGGGCACCGGCCCCCAGGGCAAGCTGAGCGAGCTGGCACGCTGCTCCGTGGTGAACTACGAGGGGGATGTCATCTACGACAAGTACGTGCTGCCCGAGCTCCCCGTCGTGGACTACCGGACGCGCTGGAGCGGCATCACCAAGCAGCACATGAAGAATGCAATTCCCTTCAAGGCTGCCCAGGCTGAGGTCAGGGGAAAAAAGAAATTAAAAAAAAAAATAATCTAAAAGCCTCTGTGTTGTATGTCAGGCACAAACTGGGATTCTTGGTGGCCTGAGGCAGAGGCACAGCACAGGAATGGGAGCCTGAAGCTGTGCAATGGGTTGGTTTGCTTGCTTGTTATTCCTCCTGGGAACCTAAAAACTAGAAGCCAAGGAGCTGAATTTAATACAAAATGGCTTATTTTTTGCTTGGTATTTCTTTTGCTGCAGTGTCAGTCTAACCCTCTGTGTCTCTTCCAGATCCTGAAGATCTTGAAAGACAAGATTGTGGTAGGACACGCCATCCATAATGACTTCCAAGCCCTGAAGTACTTCCACCCAAAAGACAGGACTCGAGACACCAGCCAGAGCCCTGCGCTGAAGAAGAGGGCAGGGGTGCCCATCAGAGCCAATGTCTCCCTCAAGAACTTGGCCAGATACCTGCTCCATAAAAAGATCCAGGTAAGCACTGGGGCCCTGAGATGGGAAACAACCTTGGGTTAGCTATGGACCTCTGTGGTCAGCTGGGTTGTCCCACCTCCATGTGTGTTCTGTGTGAGGTGGAGATGAACTTTGTTCACCCTGTGCTCCTGGCTGTAAATAAGCTGGGAGAGCCAAGGACCTCCCCAGCTGACCATTAAATATCTCAGTAAAACAGGGACAGGATCTTTGCCCTCCAAAAAGGATGGAAGAGATACCTGTATGGCCTTGGCTACTTCAAAGCTTTGCTGTCTCCAAAACCCACAGCACTTGTATCCTTCCAAGCAAGCATTTGACATGACATGTGAGATTTTTGCTGCCCCTTTTATCTAACGAGCTTTTTCCCCTTGTCCTCAGGTGGGCTGCAAAGGACACTCGTCAGTGGAGGATGCCCAGACAGCCATGGAGCTGTACAGACTGGTGGAGGTGCAGTGGGAGAAGGAGCTGGCCCACAGCCTGCCCCCCCGGCCCCCCAGCCCCGTCACAGACCCTGCTGCAGACAGCAGCCAGTACCTGCAGGACCAGTACTGGCCCACAGAGCTGATGGCAAGCAGCCTGTGATGGGAGACAGGGTCTCCTCTGTGTGTGTTTTGGGCCATCCTGGTGCCTTCAGCTGCCAAAGGTGGATGTGACTGCTGACTCCCTCCCCTGGGGCTCAGCACTGCTCTGCTCAGGGATGGAGGCATGGTGACACCTGGACACAAGCAGTCTCCCAGAAATGCTGTCTGCAGCCTTGAGCTGTCACACAGAAATCAGGGCCGTGACTGTGCTGTGTTCATCTGTCACTTGGGGATGAGCAGGGTCCTGTGTCAGCCTGGAGGAGCCTCTGTGGGCATCCAGGGGGGGCTGCCAGCACCCTCCATGCCTTCTGTGGGGCTGTCCTCCTCCCAGACAGCAAGGGACAAGTTTTCCTGTGCAGGGACTGAAGTGTTTTGCTGATGTCCAAAGGCTGAAAACCATCTGGGCCATTAAACGACCGGTTTTCTCCTCACTTTCTTTCATAGAATCATAGAATATGCTGAGTTGGAAGGGATCCATCAGGATCATTGAGTCCAACACCTGGCCCTGCACAGGACACCAAAGAATCCCATCGTGTGCCTGAGAGCTTTATCCAAACACTCCTTGAATTCAGACATGCTTGGTGCTGAGATCACTTCCCTGGGGAGCCTGTTCCAGTGCTCAGCTCCAGCTGTGTGCTGAATTTCTTGTCCAGAAGGATACTGTGATATGGTATCAAAAGCTTTGCTTAAGTCCAAAAAGATTTCATCACCTGGTGTCCCTTGATTAGCTAGGTGGGAGCCCTGTAGTAGAAGGAAATCAGGTTCCATGAGCAGGACTTTGCCCTGACGAAGCCATGCTGGCTGTGACAAATGACTGCACTATGCTCCAGGTGGTTTTCAGTACCTCCCAGAAAAATACTTCCCATGATTTTACCTGCCAGTGACGTGAGACTGACAGGCTGTACTTTCCAGTGTCCTTCTTGCCCTTCAAAACTGGGGCAACATTTGCCAGCTTTCAGTCAGCTGGGACCTCTCTGGATTCCTAAGACTGCTCAGAAATAGTTGAGCAGCTCTGTAATGACATCAGCAGCTCTTTGAGGATTCTTGGATGAATCCCATCAGGCCCTATAGATTTACAGGGATCCAACTGCACAATGAAGTTCAAGAGGAAAGTCTGGGTCTAATCAATGTCCAGCCTGGACAAGAGCACAGAATGCACTTCATTTTAAATAAATTATACACATGATTGTCCAATTCTGAATTAAAACCTTCTGGCTAAACCCCTTGTGTTTATTCTGCGTGATTTGATCTGGCAGCTCTCCAGGAGTGAGAGGGCAGGGATGAGGTTGGCAAACAGGTGCCCAAGCACCATGCCATGCTCTAGAGCTTCAACCCACCTGCAGCTGGAAGAGGTGCTTTGAGAGGCTGGGGTAGGTAGTTCTTGGGGTACAGGCTTGTCCCCTGTGCTCTGGGGACACCCCTGTGAAGACAGGAGGAGCAGGGATGGGCTCAGCCAGAGCTGGGGTCTGGGAGTAAGGTCACTGTGGGCATGTTGTGAGCTTTGGCCTGGGCTGCTCGTCTGCAGTGACTGCCTGTAGGTGACATGTAGCTGATCTGTGGCTGCAGAATTGTGCCCCAGCTGGGTGTGAGCACCAGGGAGGAGTTTGGGGCTGGACACAGGGAGTTCCTGATTCACCAGGGAACTGAACAGCCATGCTTATAGAAAATTGATATTTTTTTCACAATGTGCTTGGGGGCATCCCCTGAGCACAGTCCCCCTGCCTGGGCTGGGAGAGGGAGGTGGCAGAGCAGGCTGGAGAGCTGCCTGCACCCTGGGGGCTTTGGGGGGCCGGGTGCAGCACAGCGGGTACAACAGCCAGCACTGGAATGGAGTCCATGACCCCATCAGCCAGGCTAGACTGTCCCAGGCTTTTCCCAGCAGCCAGGGGAAGGTAAGGAGAGCTCAGCCCCAGCCTTGGGAAGCGGCCAAGGCAGCCGGGTGACGCAGACACACCTGACGCACACATCAGTGCCATTACCAGACACATCTTGCACTTCCCATCTTAACTCCTCCCTGCCTGGCAGAAGAAGCCAGGAACAGCTCAGAAAGGCTTTGAAACGTGTCAGACACATCTAAAAATCTTTGTTCTCACAGTGGCCCAAACACAGCCATCCTTCAACAGATATAATAGCCTGGGCTCTGCCGTGAGCTCGTGGTCTGGACAGGAAAGGAAATGTGGTCCTATGGTAGGCCTTTAAATCCTGCTTGTTCCAGTTTGTCCCAGGTGTGTTCCTGATGCAGCAGGGTGTAAAACAGGGCCAGCAGCCCCCTCTGTGCCAGCTCAGGGTGCAGCTCAGCTGAGCTGTGCAATGCCAGCAGGCCCTAACCCCACGGGGCACACAGAGGGCTGCAGGAGGAGCACAGGTCTGTTTCCTCCTCTCTGCCATCTCCACCTCCCCCGGGACAGCAGGAGGGAGGCAAAGCTGTAGGAAAGGTGAAAGCTCTGCATCCCACTGTCAGTAGATGGTGGCATTCCAAACGTGATGCAGCAGCGCTGTCTTTGCTCCTGGGAAAGCAGACCTGGAGGAAGGACAGAGCTTTGCTCGTGGCTGTATAACCTGGCCCATGTAACCACATCCCTGCGGGGTGTACATGAGTTTGTGGAGAGCTTATATGGGGCGCTCCATGGCTCCCAAATTATCTGTCCACCTGAGCCCCAGCCTGTGGCCCCTCCAGCCCCCATCTCAGTGCCTTGCACTAAGCCCTGTGGTGGTGGATGTCAGACACAGGTGTGTTGAACCTGGAGAAGGCTTTATCAGCCTGTGACTCAGCCTGCCTTGCCATCAGCCTGAGGCATAATTAAGGAAAAGAAAGCATTTCCGAAATCTTGACCATCCACTGATTTAACCCTCCTGCTGAAATAGCTTCCCTGCTTTGGAGGCAAATTTGGAGGCAGCCAGGCAGCCAAAGGCCAGCTGCCCTTTGGTGCTGTCATGCCCTGCAAGCATGACATTTGCTTCTATGCCATGATCTTCACCTCTTGGGGAAGGTGAGAAACAAATTTGAGGGTTAATCCATATTTCCATCAGATTTGAAGGGCTTGGAAAACCCCAGCACTGTGTACTGCAGGCCCCCAAAACAGGGCTGCTGCTGAGCAGACCTCACATGGATGATCAGAGGTGGTGGCAATCTGCTCCCTGCCAACAATGTTTGCTCTGAACAATCTAAGTGGCAACACTGGCCCCATTTCCAGCCTCTCAGAGCTAATGGGGATTTTCACAGGTGTTTGTGAATATTCACCTCCGTGCCAGCTCCGAGTTGCCATGGCTGAACAAACCCCAGCTCATCACACGCTCGGGCTCATCTCACGAGCAGCCTGCTGGAGCTGCTGTTGGGAGCTGAGCATCTTTGGGCGGGAGAAGGAGAGCTGGGCTGGCTCACCATTTACGCTAAAATTCGTGATAATTGAGGAATCTGCAGAAAACTCAGCTGTTATCTCAACAAGCCCTGAACAATGATTAACCCAAAGCCATGAATCCAGCACTGGGCTTTTTTATCAGAGGGAAAACATTGTCAAATGAGTTTTTCCCAGCCAGCTGCGAGTGCAGGTAACCGATAAGGCCGTCACTGGAGTGGGGCTGAGCCAATGGGAGCCGATGGCGACAGCTTTTACTTCTGTCTAGCAACAGCTTCTCCTCCAGCAGCAGGCACAATTCATTGCTTTCTCTTGCTTTTATTGGGCTTTCCTCCTGCTGCATGGGGGTTTTCATGGGGGGCACTCAAAAACTGAGGCTCGAGTGGGTTGTGCACCTTTTCCTGCATGTTGTGGTGTCCATTCCTCCCCTGCCATGGTGAGGGATGTGCAGCTGTGAAAGGCTCCACCCTGCCCACATCCTGGGCTCGCTCCCTCCTTGTCCATGCACCAGGGATTCTGCTGGGTGGGCGTTGGACACCCACGGGGTTCTCGGACCTGCACCATGGCAGAGCAGCAGCTGTACCAGGAGCAGAGATGTGTCTGACCTCCTGCCCTGCATCCCCAGTGCCTGACCACGGTCCAGCTCCTCTCCCAGCTGCCAGGGGCTGTTTGCATGGGGAGCACGGCTGGGAGCAGCATCCCCTGATCAATCACCTGGCTTGCTTTGCTGCTGGCTCTGCTTTATCACAGGACACACGGATGAAATGCCACGTAAAGCCCAAATCACAGAAGCACAGAGTCAGAAGGAGCTCACCAACACCTGGTGTTGGAGAGGACGTCCCTAAAAATCACACCAGGAATGTCTTGGGGTGGAGCAATGCTGGTACCTAATAACAGCCCGGAGCAAGCCCCTAAGCTGAGGCAGTCTGTCCCCTTGCTGTGGAGACACAGAGGGACGATTCACCCTGTTTGCAGTCAGAGAGCTTCCCTCGGGCACTGCACCAGAGACCAAAGCAGAGGGAGAACCCATGCTCCCTGCACCCCCGCCCCATCAGCACCCCCAGCCACCCCTCTCCTCTGCTCCCCGAGGGTAAATTAGAAGGCAGAAAACTCTCCGCCAACTCTAAATTAAAATCTCAGGAGCCTTAATAAGCGGCTTGGCCGGAAGAAGCGGATAGGTGTGATGTGGAAATGAATAGGCACATCTGGCAGCCGCCTAGCACCTGGGCTGCAGGAGGGGTGTGCGTGATGTGTGCGTGTGCAAACCCCAGCGCAGCCTCCCGGATTGGCTGCAAAACCCCTTCCCGACCAACGCCGGGGAACAGGGTGGCCTAGCAACAGTCTTTTCCTAATGAAAAACAAGCCACTTAACTAACCATCGTGACTGTGTGCATATGAGAGGGAAAGGCACGGCTCCCAGCAGCTCCCCAGGGAGCTGGCCCCAAAGGGGCTGCAAAGGGCGAGCTGCACAGGTAGGGTGGCCTGACCTGAGCACCCCTGTGCCCCTCGGTGCCTGCTGCACAACTCCTCTGGGTGCTTGGCAAGGATTGCTGCAGCAAAACACAAAGAAGCCCCCAAGGATAACCCACCTCCATTCTCTGCAGGCAGCCACCCCCAGAATGGCTCACCCCACTGCAGGCACCCCACAGCCCTGCACTCACCTGGGGGCTGGATGCCAACACCTCACAGGGGCCATGAGCTGCTGAAGGTGAGGGATTTGTGGGGTGCAGCACTAGGGGAATGGGGGGTGTTCCCCAGCATCACCAGGAAAAGGAGGAGCTGAGGGGTTGGTCGCTGCTGTGGTCTTGCTTGGGGATGTCACCTTTCCTTGTTGCTGCCCTGGATTCTCTCCTCCAGCAGCTCCAAAGACAGTGAGGTTGAATGAAAGAGCATAAGCCCATGCCTTAACCACAGCCTCTCTGAAAGACAGATCACAAAATACCCACTGATCTTGTGGATGGGGGGATTCGGGTTGGCCTGCAGTCAGAGGGAGCAGGGACAGGCAGGAGTCAGGCTGGCAACAGTGGCAATAGATATCAAAGAAGAGAATTACTCTTGGGCTGCAGAAACCCATCTTCCTTGGGGAAGAGCAGGTTATAGGACAGCTGTCTCTGGCAAGGTGTGCAATTCCCAGACAGGCAGTGTGGGGAGAGGATCAGCTCAGCCCACTGGCACTGGGGACAGCAGGAGAGTGGTGTGGTGTTTCCTTCATCCCCACGTGCTGCATCATTTCAGGAACCTCGAAGCTGTGCAAATCTGTGGTCTTTCAGCCTCTCCTTTTGCCCTCTCAGCTCACCCTGGGGATGATGAAGGGGGAATGCTGGAGCTCTTTAAATTTTCCTCTTAAAGGGTGGTTTCACCTCAGCTGAAAGAACAGCCCAGTCCTCCAGCTCAGACCTGCCCCACAAGACAGCTGCCTCCCCCACTCCACTCCTGCATGCCTGCATCCCCTCACAAACCATTAGAAATAACCTTTTTTTTTTTTTCCCTACCAAACAAGAAAACATAATGCCATCATCTTTCCAGCGCCACTGGCCAGGGCAGAGCAGCAAGTGTGGTGTGCTCCAGGCCAAAATCCCTGCCACAAAGGTGTGGTGGAGGCTCTTCCCTGGGGGAGCCTGATGCGAAAAATTTAAAAATAACAGGAGTAGAGGAAAAGCACAAAGCGTGACTCCCCAATCCCCTGAACTGACCCCCGGAGAGCCCCCTGTTCCAATTTTCACTCAATTTCTGCCCATTTCAGGTTTTTGCAGTCCCGGCTGTTCACTAGATGGTGCCCTCGGGCTGCTGGTTCCTGAATTATCCCCTCGCAGGCTGGGATGGGATGGGATGGGATGGGATGGGATGGGATGGGATGGGATGGG